CCCAAAGTGCTGGGATTACAGGCTTGAGCCACCGCGCCCGCCCCCCCCCCCCCTTTTTTTTTTTTTTTTTTAAATGGAGCCTCGATCTGTCTTCAGTCTGGAGTTCAGTGGCACTATCTTGGCTCACTGCAACCTCCACCTCCCGGGTTCAAGTGATTCTCCTGCCCCAGGCGTGCATTAGCATGCTCAGCTGATTTTTTTACTTTTAGTAGAGATAGGTTTTCACCGTATTGGCCAGAATGGTCTTGATCTTTTGACCTTGCGATCCACCCACCTCGGCTTCTCAAAGTGCTGGGATTACATACATGAACTACCGTGCCCGGCCTCCTCTCAAATTATTTTCTTAGACTAGATTCTTAGAACTATTGGGTCAAATAAAAATGTTAAAGCCTATTTACATTATTTGCAAATTTCTTTATATAAAAGTGATATTAACATAAACTAACATGAATTATATATGAGGCGGGGTGTCCTACTTTTTCCCCTATCAGCATATTATTTTTTAATTTCACAAGATTATTAATTTGATAGGAAAATATCTATTTAATTTGTTATGATCTAGTTTGCAATTTTAAAATGCTTGTTTGATGGTCACAATTCTCTAAATTGCTTGCCTGCATTCTTTCTATTAGGATGTATAGTAATTCACATAAAATGCATAGTAAGCATATTAATGTGCATATTTTAGTTGAGCTGAGCCTTTATTTACGTATGTTAAACAGGTCAGTTTTTGGAAAAGCAGTTTTAAATAATCTATCTTTTAAAATAATCTCAATTTCAAAGTATCCATTTATAGGACTTGAAGACACTATTTTCTTCATGCATTTGGTGAATATTTTGATCTGAGTTTCCACTTTGTTTTGCTTTTTATAACTGGACTTTTAAGTATACTCAAAAATAGGTTAAAAGTAGGTGAGTTACAGTTTTTAAACATTGTTTACAGTGACATCCAGTATGGCATGAGTGGGGTCATGCATTTTAGATTAATAACTAAATCTTTTCCGTGTTTCTATTCCTCTAATTATTTAATCAGATGACTTCAACAAAATAGTAGTTATAGGATTAATTTCTTGCTGAGTCTTCCTCAAATGGTATTTGTTCAAAATGCAATAATTGATAGAATATTTATGTCAAAGATTTTGTAAGAACACAAATATAAGATGATACTCTTCTGCTAAATATTTGTAGTCGGGGCTTCCCTTTATCTTGTATGATTTTTAGAATTAGCTACTTGACTGAAATTAATTACTTTAGAATCAGTACTATAAATTTTAATTGACTTATTTTACACAGTAATCTTTTAAGACTAACATTTATATCTGGCTTTTCTATTTCTTTTAATGCTAGATGTCACAGTGTCTCAGAAAATGTAATTTGTTCAAAGAAAGGAGACTGAGTGTTTTGTAATGAGTTTAAAATCTGACATCTAAATACATAATCACAAACCTGGCACACTATTAGTCATTCACATATTCTGTTTCAAAGAACACGGTGATCAAAAATCCTTGAGATTATAAATTGAGACATCATTATAATGATCATTTTATCATGCTAGGAAGTGTAGTTAATTTATTAAGTGGCAGATCACTTTTAAAAAAATTGCTAGAAGTAATTTTTCATGATCATGTTGTCTACATCTAAAAATTAGGAGAGATAATGTGTACAAAGAGTATTTATTTTTGAGCTTTTCTTTTATTTCAGATTGAGTAACAGCCATTCTCATCATGAAGTTTTTAAAAGAAAGACAAAGCAGAATTTTTGTAGAAAATGATTGATGTTAAAATAGTTATCATTGGCTAGGTGAGGTGGCCCACACTTCTAATCCCAGCACTTTGAGAGGCCGAGGCGGGCGGATCATTAGGTCAGAAGTTCAAGAACAGCCTGGCTAACATGGTGAAATCCCATTTTTACTAAAGAAAATTACAAAAATTAGCCAGGTGTGGTGGCGTGCATCTGTAATCCCAGCTACTTGGGATATTGAGGCAGGAGCATTGCCTGAAACCGGAGGCGGAGGTTGCCGTGAACTGAGATTGCGCCATTGCACTCCAGCCTGGGCCACAACAAGACTCCATCTCAAAAAAAAAAAAAAAAAAAGTTACAACATTTATTCATGAAAGTAAACCCGTGGGTCTTATAGAACAGTGTTTCTCAAACTTTGTACCCCAGACTGAGAATAGTTGGAGTGGGTCACAGGCAT